ATACAGAGACCTGGTGCACTGAGTGCCACAAGGTTCCCAAACGACCCTCCGCAGGTTTTGAATTCAGACATGTCCTTCTCCTAGACCAGTTGCCATCCAAGGCTATAGAACTGTCTGTCCTGCTATTTTACTCATTTTTCTCAGGAGGGAGAAGAAGAGGATTCATACCTTTCCCAAGGGTATTAGCACGTGAGTAATGGATTCGACTGGAATTCGAACTCGGCTCTGCGATTCCTCAATCCAAGCTGATATCCATTACTCCACCGTACCTTTTATATATATGTATAATTAAACATAACGGAACTGGTGTTAAAAAACTCTAAAACATATCTCTTCGGCATTTAATCTCTTTTGAAGTCGTCCATTTCTGAAGCCACACACTTTATTCAGTGTCATTTCCATTGATGGAAACATTTCTGCAAATCCTTTGTGGGAATAGGGAGCAGCTGATTCGTGGCATTCTCTGGGATTTTTCGACGTCTTGAAATCTTGTTCCTTTCAAGTGGGATTTGATTTTTGAAGCAGAAAAATATCGCAAAGGGTGATATCTAGGGAATAAGGTGGTTGCTGGACTTGGGGAATGACGTGCTTTGGCCAAAAAACAATATACCCACTTTCCTTCCTAACACTGCTCCCAATTACGGAAGTGAGTGAGAACGTTATAATCTTTGCGCAGGCTCAAGGTCAGTTAGTGCAAAGTAGCTTCACACCGCGTCCTTTAGCTCCGTTACTATAGCAACAGTCCCGATACTTTTTGATCGGAACTCGTATGGACTCGATCGAAACAGGGTGCGATGGGTAAATTTTCGCTATTCTATATGTTCAATATCGCGCATGCGCCTTGTTTGGTTTTGATTTTCTCGACTGCACAGTACAGTAGAGTCACCGTTTGTGAAAAAAAAAAGAGAACCATGACGCAATTCCCTCCGCCAGAAATTTGGAAACGGCATGTTGTATTGCTAGGCACTTGCACCGGAATGTCCAATATCAGAGTGTTTGGGCATCAATTTGAAGAATGTGCAGATTTATCGGAAAGATTTGAATGAGTCTAATGATGATTACGAAGGTACGGTAGCTCGGAAAACCCACTCTAATCGTTCTGATAAGAAAAGAACGACCGAATTTGCTGATGAGGTGCTCAGACCGAACACGAAGGTCTACGTCATGCACCTCGAGGTGGTAGTGCTGCCTCAGGTCAAGAGGGTGGATGCTGGAAGTACCTATGCCTGGCAACAAGACCCTGCACCATGCTACACAAGCAGGAGGACCCTGTCATGGCTACTAGACAATTTCTGCGACCTCATCACTCCTTACATGTAGCCACTCAACTCCTCAGACAGCAAACCCCTTGATTATTCTATGTAGGGGTACAGTTGAGTGACAGACCAACAACATTCCTTGTAACACCAAAGATAAACTAAAGGCAAGGATTATGGCAGCATTCACCAACTAAAATAAGGAGAGCGTCCAGAAGAGATGCAGGAGATTCCGAAATCATCTGGAGGTTGCAGTTGAAGCCAATGGCGATTTTATTGAATAAATTTAGTCTTTAGTATTTCAAGATATTTTAGTGTAATTTTGGTAAATGTATATGTCAAAATAAGATGCCAGTGATATTTTCATTTTTGTGTAATTTGGACGACAATTTATCCATCGCTCCCTGTGTATATATATATATATATATATATATATATATGTAAGTGTGTGTATATGTGTGTGTTTAGCCAGCAATCCTCCTTTCATGCTCATTTCAATTTTTGTTAACAGTTAATATATTTCAACCTTGAAAATGGCTAAATGTATAAAAAAGCGCTTGGGTAAAAATAACAATGGGACAGTTTTTATATAACTTATCATCCAAAAAAAAAAAAATTATTATCACATGAGAAATTGTATACAAAACTAAATCAAAGCACCTTGTGCATTGTATTCTATATAAATGTGCATGAAAGATATATATATATATATATATATATATATATAAAAATATATATATATATATATATATATATATATATATATATATATATATATATATATATATATATATATATATATATATATATATATATATATATATATATATATATATATATATATATATATATATTTTGATCACCTGAGAAGACACCAGAAGTATTGAAACAAAATGGCTATTTTTTAATGTTATAAGATGTTTATATTATAATTTTAAAAAAAAAATATTTGCTCTACTCTGTATTCCTTTCTTTTTTTTAAAAATAATGTTTTTGATTATTGGACACACACACACACACACACACACACACACATATATATATATATATATATATCGCCATTTTTTTTTGATTTTTTATATATATATATATATATATATATATATATATATATATATATATATATATATATACTGTTTATATTTATTTGGGTATATATATATATATATATATATATATATATATATACTCACACACACACACACACAAATATATATATATATATCCAAATGTAATGACAACGAAAATAATATAAATTCAAACGTTCAAAACATTAAATTTAAAAGATGGCACAATACCAAGAGTAGAGCAATAGTTATTTATTATAATTTGTTACATACAGACAAAGAAGTACTGCAAAGATGTATATTTGTTTCGATGTCTTAAGGTATACTGTACACACAAACACAGTCACACACACTCTATAGAAGAAGAAGAAGAAGAAGAAGAAGATTATCTTTTTTTTATTAAATGGAGCATTTTAAATCATTACTCTTTTTTCCCATCTTTTGTGAATATCTGCTGCTGATGCAACGATATCGAATTGTACTTCAAAAACTCTAGATGACCAAAACCTTTTAGCTGTATTCTCCGCTTGCGTAGACTTAACAACTCGGTGGAGGAAAAACAATCCTGCTGGTCACATTCAATCCCTCGAAAACAAAACTAGTGACATTCCATAATCACCGAAAGGACCCTGAATTATCGCCTAACTAGAAAAACGGGTTTTCTCTCAGGGACGCACTGTATCTTGATCGCCTATATCGAAAATCCAACCCAAATCTCAAATGGAACTTCTACATACGATATATACCAGTACCGCCCTAGTAAATAACTGATTTCCGTTATATATCTTTACAAGAATCTGCTGAACTATATGAGCAGGAGCTGCACAGTCTTCACTTTCCAGTCTCGATAGGGTCCAAAAGCGTCTCCGCGTCCTTGTGGGTGATGAATTATTCTTCCACCCAACAACCCCTTTATCACAGACAAAATGTCGCAAGCCAAGCGCTGCTCTGTCGCTATTTCCATGGAAAATACTCAGACGAACAACATTCCTTAGTTCCACCAGTTCTAACCCTCATGGCCAAGACCCGTCACACCACGCATATAGTTGTGAACGACCGTCATTCCCGTTGTATGCCATTAGTGAGACCTAAGTTCCACTCGAGCATATTCTTTCCACGAACGGCTGCTTTGTCGAACCGACCCCAAAGATTATGCTTCATCGATTACTACATTCTTAATCCGTTTAAGTCTAAGGTTAATCGTTATCTTTCTCCTCCTAAATTTT